TCGACACGGGAAGACTAAAGAGATAGAGGTCGTGGAACACCTATATACTTAGAAACCGAAACAAATTCACAAAGTATGTAATTAGTAATTTTATGTATTTTTTGTACATATATATATATAATTTTGATCTATTCACAAGAATGTCCTAGAAGTTGACTGCTTGTGGAGATACGAGCTCGGCACAAATGAGCAGCTCCTGGGAAATTCGCGAATCAACCCGACTTTGAAGCAACGCGAACGATGTCCCAATTTGCATCAGTTGAACGGAGCGTAAGCCAAACCGCAAGTCGCCCTGTGCAAACTGCATAGAGAGAAAGACCCTTTTGCCCTGTAGAGAGTCCCATCACATTCAGAGCTTTCGATCTCCCTTGGCACTTGGATTGCAGGTGACAATTCAAATGCGGCACCGACATGACCAGAGTTTCGACGGAAGTCAGGCGACCTTGTCTACGGAGAGCTTATTTCTGCTCGCAAAATGCCCTGCTCCACAAAGCATAAGATACATTAAGAATCATTAAGATACTATATTAAACTGCATACGAAGATCTCATAAGATCTCCATACAAGTAAACAGCAGGCCTCAAACACGCCCTTCTGCTCCTTGTCAACAAGTGGCAAAGTATCGCCAAAACACCTCAGCTTTCATGCAGTGAGCTGCTTCCATCGTGCTTTGAAAAGAATGCGTACAGCAGGGTGGAGCCTGGGATGAGACTTGCAGCTTGCAAGACATGTCAGTGAGTGTTGTTCAACATCTTGGAGCAAACTCACCCAGCTGCATCCCAACGTCACCTATTCATTAATGTTGGGTCCTGATTAGTACCTAGGGTCGCTATTGTGGCAATTTTTTTTCCAAATTATTCTGAAACTCATGTATTGTTTGGAGGGTTCGCTTTTGTGGCAAAACAAAATTGGGAGAGTCCTTTTTTTTGAAAAAAAACTGTAATTGCTGAGAGGCAATTTCTTTCTCAAAAACGCTGTAGCTCAGTCAATTTTTTGCTCATCTCCTATCTGAGCCTGTAAATGCATCTCTAATTGAGTAGGTTTGTTTGCTGGGTTCACTATTGCAGCAAGCTGTGCCAGAGCAGCCCCTGGAAGCCCAGAAGGAAGCAAGCCTTTTCCAAAGGCAATTGCCAAATTCAAACTGCAAGCCTTTCCCAAAGGAGCCAATCCCTTATTAAACCCTTATTAAAGAACAGCTTTTCCACAATTTTCCAAGGCCCTGGACCAGTAGAGGCCCCATTTCACTTTAGTAGGTTTGTTTGCTGGGTTCACTATTGCAGCAAGCTGTGCCAGAGCAGCCCCTGAAGAAGGGAAGCAAGCCATTTCCAAAATTGCCAAATTCAAACTGCAAGCCTTTCCCAAAAGAACCAATCCCTTATTAAACCCTTATTAAAGAACAGCTTTTCCACAATTTTCCAAGGCCCTGGACCAGTAGAGGCCCCATTTCACTTTAGTAGGTTTGTTTGCTGGGTTCACTATTGCAGCAAGCTGTGCCAGAGCAGCCCCTGGAAGCCCAGAAGGGAAGCAAGCCATTTCCAAAATTGCCAAATTCAAACTGCAAGCCTTTCCCAAAGGAGCCAATCCCTTATTAAACCCTTATTAAAGAACAGCTTTTCCACAATTTTCCAAGGCCCTGGACCAGGAGAGGCTCCATTTCGCTTTAGTAGGTTTGTTTGCTGGGTTCACTATTGCAGCAAGCTGTGCCAGAGCAGCCCCTGGAAGCCCAGAAGGGCAATTGCCCAAATTCAAACTCCAAGCCTTTCCCAAAAGAACCAATCCCTTATTAAACCCTTATTAAAGAACAGCTTTTCCACAATTTTCCAAGGCCCTGGACCAGGAGAGGCTCCATTTCACTTTAGTAGGTTTGTTTGCTGGGTTCACTATTGCAGCAAGCTGTGCCAGAGCAGCCCCTGGAAGCCCAGAAGGGAAGCAAGCCATTTCCAAAATTGCCAAATTCAAACTGCAAGCCTTTCCCAAAAGAGCCAATCCCTTATTAAACCCTTATTAAAGAACAGCTTTCCCACAATTTTCCAAGGCCCTGGACCAGTAGAGGCTCCATTTCACTTTAGTAGGTTTGTTTGCTGGGTTCACTATTGCAGCAAGCTGGGCATGAGCTGGTTCAGTGTCTCTTGAGATTTAGCTGAGTATAAGCTAAACAAGTACTACAAGTACTACAAGTACTACAACTACAAGTACTACAAGTACTACAAGTACTACAAGTACTACAAGTACTACAAGTACTACAACTACAAGTACTACAAGTACTACATGTACTACAAGTACTACAAGTACTACAAGTACTACAAGTACTACAAGTACTACAAGTACTACATGTACTACAAGTACTACAAGTACTACAAGTACTACAAGTACTACAAGTACTACAAGTACTACAAGTACTACAAGTACTACAAGTCCTACAAGTACTACAAGTACTACAAGTACTACAAGTACTACATGTACTACAAGTACTACATGTACTACAAGTACTACAAGTACTACAAGTACTACAAGTACTACAAGTACTACAAGTACTACAAGTACTACAAGTACTACAAGTACTACATGTACTACAAGTCCAAGTACTACAGTACTACAAGTACTACAAGTACTACAAGTACTACAAGTACTACAAGTACTACAAGTACTACAAGTACTACAAATACCACAACTTCATCGGCAAAAAAAACAATAGTAATTAGATTTCAATTGTAGCCAATTGAAATCCTTACTTAATAGAGGATATGTTTTTCTTTTGGGAAGAAAATTTTTGACTTTCTACTTTAAAGAGAGTCCAGATATAGTTTGGGGGGGGGGCACACACTAATCAGGAACCAACATTAACTGATCTGGCATTATCCCCTCTTATCATCTGGATATCATCTGGCATCTAGGTCTTCTTGTTCCACAATTTTCACTTTGTCTAGAGTCTAGATCTCTCCTAAGAGCCCGTTTTGCAAACTTCTTTGCAATGTCAAACTGTACCTTTTGCCGGAGCCTTCCTTGTTGGCTGTGGTCGACTGTTTGTCTTCCCCATTCCACCTGCAAGATTTGCTTTGGGCTTCTAGCTGGTCCGATTTCAGCTCAGTCAGGATCTGGCTCCAAAGTGTGTGTTTCTCCAACATGTCCTCGGGGTGAAGAATCTCATGCACAAACATGTGGCACCGCGGTACAGAAGCCCTAAATTTGAGATAATATATATATATAATATTAATCTTAATATATATATATAATATATATTATAATTAATTATAATATATATATATATATTATTAATATTATTATTAGTATTATTATTATCATTATCATTATTATTATTAATATATATATATATTATTATTATTAATATATATATATTATAATATATATATATTATATATTATTATATTATTTGTATAAGTTTCAATTGCTGCTGCAAGAATGGCACCAAGACTTCCAAACTATAAATCCCTATGGCCCTATGGCTGGTGATTTTCCAACAAAACTCACTAAACAAATCAAACGAAACATAACATGACAACTCACAGGAAACCTGGAAGGAAACCTGAAAAGCTAAGAGTCCACAAGCTGAAGAACTTATTCTTCCCCAAGCATGTGGGGTGCAAATCTTCCCCTTCATGTGCTTAGAAGTTCATAGAACAGGCACCAGCCAGCAGAATGTCACTTCTGGGTGGTTGCCCGTTCTGTTTTTTTGGGGGTTTGAATGCTGGCCGTAAGACATGCGTGAACAAATTGCATCAAGAATTCTTGGCAGTTTTTTTGGGGATTTGTTTTTTCGAGTTTCTCATGGATAAAAAGCTTGCAAAACAGCTCGTGGAATTGGCAAAGTCTTGGCAGCAAAAACCTTGCTTTCGAATTGGTAGACTTTCTGCAAGTGGTTTCAGTGGCAGAATCTCAAGAACAGGCAGCACTATTTTGTTTTGATGCTTGGTAGGTTTCGGAGCACCAAAACACACTTGATGTTTTTCTTTCTGTCACCAATTTAAAATTCCAAGATTTCTGCCTCACTAAAGACAGTTTTAACATGTTTTGACCCAAAATATTCGCGAGAACAAATACGTCGAACTTTAAAAAGTTGGGGTCCAAAGTTTGGCGAGCTCAGCAAAGACCTTTGGCGGTGACGGTTTTTCGGAAGCATTCCAGTCCAGTCTTTCAATATATTTAAAAGGCATTCATGCTAAGACATGGCCGAACTTTTCAATGAGCTTCCAGCTTCCGCCTTCTGGCACTGATAGAGGTTGCGAGTTGAGTTTCCAAAAAAAATCACGCCTGAGAATTTGTCACAGGGCTTTGGTGCCAAGAGTCTGCACATTTTTGGCCTGTTTGATACAGTAATTCTACCCGATAGCCTTCAGCTCACGTCCGTGAATTGTTGATTACTTTTGGGCACCCCACTTTTTGAGTGATAGGTGCCTGCAAGTCTGGACATGAAATGTGTCTCTGCCTCAGCCTCATTCACTCTTGTTTCATACTCACAAATTGCAGCACATGGATTTTGCGCCCAGTAAGCACTACAGAGTGAGCTTCCAAACTGGGCGCCATTTTGATGCAAACTACCCTTCGCTTGTGAAAGTTAGCACATGGAAAGACTGTGTATATTGCGTATAGGTGTATACACTAGTCTGAAATCCATTGAAATCCTGTCAATTGTCTCGGTTGTACCAAATAATTACCCAAGGGCATTATAGGTGTATACACTAGTCTGAAATCCATTGAAATCCTGTCAATTGTCTCGGCTGTACCAAATAATTACCAAACGAGCCGGTGTTATCACAACTTTAGCTTTGTATGTCCACATAAACCGTGCCATATCGTGCCATGCTCATGTTTTTCCGAGCGTGCATTTGGATCTTGTTCTTTCTTTGGCACACCTTTGTGCTTTGCTGCTGCTTTTCCTGCCTTTTTCATCCTTTTTCATCCTTTTTCCTTTTGTTTCGTTGCATTTGACCAGTCTGCAAGGAAGTAGCGTGGAAAAGGCGGGCAATCGCAAAAAGGATTGATCAACAAGTGATGAGCAAAACGAAGATAGATGGGCGCGATAACTTTCCAATATGGCAAAGCTGCAGTTGTGAGACGTCAAGTGCAGCTGAGGGGAAGACTGCATTGCCAACAATGAATATACCATGGCGCGCACGGGTCAATGCCACGTTGATTCGATTCTCCACCTCGTCAAGGACGTGTCACTTGTCTGGATACCAAAAATACATCCTTTGCGGTTCAGCAAAGAGCAAAGCTTCCAACGGCAAGGAAGCCCATTTGACGAGCCCTGGCAGGTGTCAAAGTTGTCTTTGCAAACGAAAGGAATTCCAAATATTCCAATTATCTGGACTGCTAAACCAAGTGGCAAAGCGATGCCCCAAAGCTGGCTCAACAATGTCTCAATCATAAATTACATTGATGGACAACGAACGTTAAATTCAGAAGGCTTCAAGCGCTTCAAGAATTCAAGGACAGTGAGGAGAAGAGAATTCTAATTCTCCTCCAGTAATGTAATTCTCTATATATATATAGTCGTTGAGGCCGCTTTCTCTTTGAAGAGCTTTTCAGGCTTGTTAACTTGCGAATCCATAAGCAATGTCTATGGCAAGTGCAATGTCCCTTTTTAGTAACGATTGAAGTTGCTGTAGAGGACTGACAGAAAAGATGTCTCGTGTCTTGTTCATTCTTGTTCATGATTTTTCAGTTTACCAGTCAACATGAACTTGAGGCTCCAAATCAGATGACCAGAACAAATGATTATATACATACTGTATATATATATAATTTTATTTTTATTTGTAAATTATACTATATAATCATCCATCGCGCTGCTGAAGTCTATCGGTCTATCATGGTCCATCTGTTGCGAAATACCTTGACCAAGTCCCAGCATGTGAAACACGAACAGCATGCAGAATCTGCACCAAAGCGCACCTATTGGAACGGACCAATGATATGACAATGATGTCGTTCTCTTCACCCTTTGGGAGCGGCAGGCAATTGACAAGATATGGTGACCTCCTGAGATCTCCTGAGACCTGGAGTTTGGAAGTTCTGAACATAAAATATATTGCAAAATCGATCGTCGAGCCTGGAAATTATCAACAGCTGTCACAGCGATTTGCTGCGTTGTTGGATCACGCTGGATCCTCTTCTTCAACAAACGCACCTGAAGGCAGTTGGCTTCCACTCGGAAACCAAATGCGCATAAATGTTCTAGTCAGGGATATCGTAAGTCTTCTAAATGAGTCATAAATAGTTAAAATGTTGAAAATGCAACTTGACGTCAAGACAGGGGATGATCTGAGCAAATTGAGATGATTTAAGCGCATTTGCATGATTCCAATGGTGTGTGTGTGGATGGGGTTCTAGGGGTGGAGGGGTGTCCGAGAGCTATGCATTCTTTATTCAAACATGTCCATGTTTTGAATTGTTCTGATATGGTTCAAGCGATCGAATCTTTCGCATGATGGCGAGATGACTGCGAAGCTCAGCCATGTTTTAACCTGCTTTTTGTATCTTTTTGTCATGTTCTTCCGTCAGTTGATTGCCAATTTTCGATTGTACTATGCGGACTGCGTCAATCCTCCAGGCTGTTTCAGTGGTTCCGGTTTGCTTTGGCCCAGCCAAGGTGTTGCTCGGTTTGCCTCTGCCTTAGCGCGCTCCTCTCACACTCTGCAAATTCTGAAATACACGTGGGCGCTGGCCCAAAAAACATAGCGGTACACGGGTAATTGTTCAATAAATTTCAATAATATGTTCAAACCCCACAATTTTTTGACTCGACCTGGTTGCGCTGAGTAAGATAAAATATATTTTAAGATATTTTAAGCAAGTGTGGCTTGTGACAGACCAACAAGTCTTTGGCCTATGATTATTCTGTGTATTTCTGTGTGCTGCATCTGGCATGCTTTTGTGGCCATGGAGGTCAATTGCAGCTGTCTTACTGCATTGTTACTACATTTGTTCATGCTTCTTCGATACAATTCGTTGCATGCTGATCAGTTTACCATATAGTTTACATTAGTTTACCATAGTGGAAATGTCGGCAGAATCCTTTGTCATCTGTAAGAAAAAATCAAGTCTGAAAGCACTTTACTTTACGACTCAAAACATGTCCATGGTGCGTAGCCATGATACTTACATAATCTATCATAATCTTGCGTTCACTGCATCTCCACTAAGGCTCCAATCCGCGCCTTATGTCGGAGGGAAAATCAATGAAAATCATGTAAAACCTTAAGAAACCTTAATAAGTATCCTTAAGATTCCTTAAGTACTCGCACCTGCCCTTTTGCCTGGCCCAAATATGGTGATAGCACCGTGATCTGCGACTCCTGAGGCCAAGGCCGCATGGGAAGTCACACAGATGCATTTGTGTGTTGCCGTCTTCACAAAGTTTAAACAATGACAAGGGCAAAAAAATGCACTGTGGATTTAAAAATGTTTAAAGGAAATGAACCTATCCCCTGCCTCATAGCCACATGAGACCAAATGCGCACACAAAGCGCTTACAAAGTTCGCCTGCTTCACATGTGTTCGAGAGCATTGCTGATGATACAAATCATATATCATCAAATATTGCCTTTCAAATCTCTGCTATACTCCACTGCGAACCCTCGAGGGTCATGACATGTCATGACAGACTACTTGTCCAATAGGCTACAGTCAGCACGCCTCAAATGTGTTTAAATGGGAATGACTTTCTCCCTCGTCGTCCTCACCGCGGCACAGGAGAAAACTGGGAAAGGGTTGCATCATGTTGCATCCTACTCCTAGACCTGCCAGGAGAAACGGCAAACAGCAAGCTACCAGTGTCTGCCCAGTACTTCCAAAAGCCGAGTCTATTTGCATGTGGTGCGGGTAAATGCTTGATGCGTGTAGATCGTGTACTGTAGCAATGCCATAGCAATGCCTCGAAGTGGAAGTGCGTCATGAAGTAGCTTCTTGCATTGATGCCTCGAATCTCCGGATACCTCCGAGGGAGAAGACCAGCAGATGTGCTGACTTGGCGCACAGTTTTTGTAGAAGTGAAGGGTAGAATAACGGAAACATACAGTATTTGAGAATATTTGGGAAACTTGAACTGTGATGCTTCGATCAACATGATCTTCAGTGTGGTTTTGGAATTGGTTTCAAAGCAGATTTGCGTACAACATAAACGTCAAAAGCACTTCGGATCCACTCAGTTACAAATGCTACCATTTCTTTTCACGAGTTGTCCCTTTGGCACCTCTCAGTGCTGGAATGGTCCCGAAGTTGAGGATAATACCTTTGGACCGATGTATCAAGAGTCACGTCAAATTGACAGAACTTGAATGGCCAAAAACAATCAAAAACAAGCAAAAATCTTCTATACCAGGGAAACTAGCAGAACGCATGGCATGCTGGACAATTGGAATGAAAATGCATTACACGAATTCACGAAAATGTCACAAAATCTATATTCAGCTATCACATATTATTTTAAGACGCTGTTTGGTCGATTGCTCTTCAAACACCCATGGCGAATGCAAAAACCAAACTGCTGCATTGTATGTTTCTTATGTCTCAGGGAATGGATATAAATGATTATGAATGCCAGTATGCCCAAGGTCTTTTGAAGCTTGCCTCATCTTTGTGCAATTCGTGACTTTTTCTGATTGTATACAGTGCAATGAGTCTTATCTAAAACAAGGCAATACCAAAAAAAAACGCTTTGTAGGAGTTTGCATTGGACGTACGCACCGCGAATGGTGCGGCCACCCTTGCACATGTTTGTGGTTAGGTTCTGCAATCAGTGGATGGCCGTAGTGTCACTTGCTGAGTGTGATGCGGCTTGATCAAGCGAGATATCTTCGGATGCATTCGTCTCTGCTGAAGCAGAGTGACCTGGGCACAGTCTACACAAGGCTACGAGATGCTATGAATATCCAGGAAGACAATAACAAGAATGACAAAAGGACGACAAATAACACATACAAAAACCGAAGCACCTGATATTGTACGTTCAGAGCCAACACGGATTTTTGACTGACTGTGTCACATTCTTGACCCTTGAGGCTTCTTTCATCTGTCCAACTTATTTTACAAAGTCTGAAGTTGTACTCCAACTTATTTTTAGTGCGGCAATCCCTGGTGCTCGGAGTGTGGAAACGAACTTGGGCGAGTGGCATGGTCAGCTCCGTTGTGGATCAACCGCTCGAAGAGTGACACGTCCAAATGAAACTGCTTGGACAAGCGATAAACCTCAAAAATGAATACACATGATGTCCGAATGCATAATATGAAACTACGCAATAAGGGGATGAGGGGACGACATAAACGAATTTGGAATCTAGACTTGGATCTGTCGGGATAAGGTATTCAGCTTTTCCATGGCCCCAGCACAGAAAACTTACACATGTTGTGGGGCAAAGTGCTGAGCAACTAGATATATACTGTAATTTATCTATGTAATTCTATGTATAATACATATATATATGTATATAATATACTGTATCATATGTGTATCATATATATATATAAATAAATAAATAAATATAAATAAATATAAATAAATACATAAATACATAAATAATACATATAACCCAACACACCAGTGTGATTCCAGCAACTGCGGCATACTGCGGCGCTGGAAACCCAAGGGCACAAGAACTACAGCTGAGGGCCCGGAGAACCCAGGGGCACAACAGCTACAGTTAGTACAGCAGACGCCCAGGCCCCGGCCAGGGCACAGAATTGCTTCCCATGAGGTTCTATCCGGACAAACAATAGTTGTTAATTCATATTTCATAATTCTATATAACTATATAATTGATACGTATCGTATAACTTATATCAACGTATAACATCTTATAACGTATATTTATCCTTTAGATAGTGCCAATTAGTGCCATGTGTTTTGCTGAGTCCGGCTTCAAGGAATCGGAACTGTTGAATGCTGGCTACAGGGAAAGTGAAGCGAGATGAAGCGAGTTTGAGCATCTTGATGGATCTTGAGGGCTTGGCAGCTGTTGAAGGTCGAAGTTGTTGGTGGTCTCCAATAAGGACCTCGGTGCACTTGCGTTCGCCGGTTGCTAATCACCGCCCAAATTTCCGACGGCAAGTAGAACAATACTCAGACTGCTCAGGATTAGAATTCTTGGCCAAAGCCTGAAATCTGCTAAAAATGACGAAAGACCTGATGCCAATAAGCTAGTACTTTTGTAGTGTAACCTTGATCCCAGAAGGCAATTCAAACTCACACAAATCAACTCCTCTGCAAACGCTGGAGATGGTATGTAGATGTATATAGGGAGATTGAAAGTCCTGCAAGAAAGTGTGCGGCCATCCAGCGGAAGCCCAGTTCAGCTTGGTTCTCACATGTTCTCACAGGATGATGATCGAGCAATCGAGCCCTGAAGAATTATTTTTGCCTTCTGGCTCTTTCTGATATTTTCTAATCCACTCCGGCTTCTGGCTATCTGAATATCTGATCCATCAATCTGCCATCGTCCTGTCGTGTTGGAGTCTCAGCTTTACACCACATGCTGCGTACGTGGGTGGAGCGCTGTCAGAATGTGGGCCTTGGCCGGGTCTTCATCTGGGTTTGGCTGATCAGTGCCGATCAGGTATTTGGGAGTTCTATGGAGTTCTTAAGCATACTTATATATCTTATATTATCTTCTATAATTAATTACACTTACACTATCCTATACTACCCAGACTGTTCAGCTGTTCTGTCCTGGCATTGCACGCAACCATACACAACTTTTTCCTCTTGACCAGTACTGTAGGTCGAGAAGGCCAAGACTGCGAATTCATCCTAAGCGTCAGCATTGAGGACGTCTCCCAGTAATTATATAATGATCTGTCTGTATTGCTGTGAGCGCCCCTTCATGCTGAAAAGATGGAAACACTGCGGCAAAATGAAAAAGCCGCAGATTCAAATTGGCCAATGGCCTAAGCAACAAACACTTCTGCAAAAAGGTGCAAAAAGCACTTTTGGAACAGCTGCTTGATGAAGGCAGATCGGTTAAAGTCTGCCAAACCAAGCGCTTGGAACGGGTGCAAATTGCTCTGTCCTATGACCACACAGAGCTTCACACTCAGCACAAACAATATATTCAGGTTCAATGTGATCCAGTCGTGAGCGTTGAAACACAATGAACAAACAAACAAAAATCATGAGTCATAAAAAGTCATCGTGAAAAAATCAGAAAGCTTGGTCAAAACTCGGCCATGCCACCATGGCCCAGCAAATCAATCTGTACAATTCTAAACGCCTCCGGTTGGGCCATAAACCCTGTAAATGCTGTGGAGTAAGGTTCAAAAAACAAAACTAATTAAATTGAACGATGGCTCTTGAAAATCAAAAACACCTTGACCTGCTGCAACCGTTCAAGCGAGAGCCTTGATGACTGCTGTATCCCATGACTCTTCCTCCAGCTGAACAAAGCTGAACTTTAGAAAAAGGTTGCGAACTTCTACTCCTACCGTATCAGCTTAAAGGATTCAACACCTTTCAGATACTCTCTTAGATTTGCACCCTGTATAGATAGCAAACTCGTGCCAGCTGACGAATTCAGGCACAGTGATTCAAGTGCATACGGTTCAGAGCCAGTCACTGTCGAATCCCTGCACACATTACAAACAGAAAGCTGAAACATCCGAAAGCACCAGTCAGAGTGGCAAGTGTGTTTGTTCAGTTCCTCCCTGGCAAAAAAAAAAAAACAATCCCCCCCATGCCTATTGGTGCTTTTGGAAACCGATCCCAGCAAGGAAATCCCCCAATTGGGTTTGCCACGTTGAAACAGCCTGGATACAGCAGGTCATAATGGCCAGGCTTGAACAAAACGTGCACATCGACCTGACGAGGACAAATGATACATGCTACGAGTCCACCAGAGCCAATACCCAAATAGAAGCCGTGTAAGCATGTTCAATTCTGTTCATATCTTATTGTTATGTCTTCTGCGTATAGATACAGATTACAGACTATACAGAGATATGTAAGCAAGCATTTCTCCGCAAACGGGCCAGTGCACACTCTACCCAGCCTCGTTTTGTGGTCGCGGAGTGTCAAGGCTGACAAGATTTACCTGATGATAGGATTCAATACAGTGAAATGCAATCTATTTCATTGCACATAATTACACGTAATACTACAACAAGTAGGTCTACCTCCATATTTCGACTCTGTGAGTTCTAAAGCACAATCTGCAACTCTGTGCAATTTGAGGCAATTTATACGTATCAATTTGTACTTTGCACTATATATACGCGACAGGCAAAAACTAGTGACACCTGATTCTCGCGACTCTTCTCACAGCACATCACAGCACTGTCTAGCAATGGGACCACAATCAAAGGATAGAGATGAATAGAATAGAGGATACATAGATATACATAGATTACATAGATTACATAGATTACATAGATGAGGATAGTGGATGAGTAGTGGATGAATGTGGATGATAGTGGAGCATTCAATACAAGGCCTCATCACGTCGGTCCAGGATCCACATTCGCAAGCCGATGCCCAGCTGTTGTGGAAGGGCATCTAGGGCCAATGTCTCTGCCTCGTGCCCACAGCATCCCACAGCATCCCACAGCTAGAAAATAAAATAGCAGCTTCCAAAAATTGCGGTGCTATCCGATGCGTTGCCAAGACAGTCAAGAGGTGCGAACCTTGCTACCTAGCTGGTTCCAACATGTCTTTTGGTAGATTGATTGAACCTGTAACTACTGCGCTCTTGCCGCCTGTCAGCAAGACGACAATAACCCTGTGGATAGCTCAGGGCCGAGCATCCCTGCCCAAGGGATCAACAATATGTCGGCAGAAGTCCTCAGTTTCAAAATGTTTCAAAGCCCATAGCCCATCACTGTCCAGCCATGCCCAGCCTCCATGCAGGTGTATCTACTGTCGAGCGCTTTCACCAGCTGATTGTACCTGTGTGAACAGCTTTTGGAGAGATCTGTCAGAGAGACCTCTCAGACAGACCTAGCCTGCAAGTTGGGAATGTGGATAAAATTGGATAAATTAAAAATGGATGTATCAGTGTATCACGTCATGATACATCTGGAAAATCTGGAGTTCTACTCAGCGGAGCACGTGAGGCCGCTTGGAGACTTTTCATTCGCTCGCCTCAAGCAGCATTGCAAGCAGCATTGCAAGCAGCATTGCAAGCAGCATTGCAAGCAGCATTGCTCAAGTCAAAGTACGCTCGATGTCTATGGAGAACTTGTCAAACAAGAATCTCATTTGTTGTGACACCCTGAAAACACTTAGAGAACTACAATTCTAAAAGATTGTACGATTCAAATGTTTGACATGTCAAACTTGTCAGAACTTCTCATACCTGTTGTCAGAGCTTTGTGAACTCCAAGTGTGTCTTGCTCTCCCATAGACCACTCTCCGAGGCCCAATCTTCATTAGGAACTGTCGCACCAACCGCCGGCACGCTCGGATCAATGCCTGAAGGAATGTTGCATTAGCATCGCATCATGATATCACAATATATCACATGTGGGCAATATTAGCAAGTCTGCAAGACCTCTCTTGGTGCTGATCCATGCCTGATCCAAAGTCGCGTCTTGTGCCACCCATTGCTCTATTTGGTCTGGACATCTCCAATTCCTGCAACGGATTCATCGGAAAAGTCACTCACTTCAACCTATGCAGGACCTATATGATATATTATATATATATAAATATATATATATATGCGAATTGAGTCCCTTTTGCAAAGAGTCCTCATGATTTGAAGCATCTGGTTGTGGCACTTCTGCTCGGCCACACATTCATATTGCACCTGCGAAGGAAAAAAAAACTCGAAAATGAAGACCAACAGACTTGCGTAGTTCAAAGTTGCTCAAAGTTGTTCAAAGCACACACAAAGGAAATCGCCTGGCGCAAAGAGAGCATGATTTGATTCAAGCGCTGGTGGTCATGGTTGACCATCAAGGCCTCGCATCTATTGGAATCTAAATGCCTCTCACTATATCATCTCTATATCATCTTTATATAATCTCTATATCATCTCTCGTGATATCTCGTGTCTGCTGGTCTATGTTCTTGTCTGCTCTTGTCTACGCAAACATTCAACCGAAGGTTCTTCGAAAACAGAAGGCATGTGACACATATGACGAACACTATGACATTGTATAACAAAGGACTGGCAAGGCATATGGTCCGTATCATATGGTCCGTCAAAATCATGCAAAGTAAAAACCGAGTGCCTCCAAAGCTCCGAAAATAACTGTGCCTTGGCTTCAAACACAGCTTCTAGTCTGAACATGTCTGAACAAAGCACACAAGCATCTTTAAAATATCTGGCAAATCCTGGCACTCCTGTTTTTCAATGTTTTCCAGACCTCCCAAAATTTCAAAGCCTGGTTGCGCATACTGGTAGCTTTGAAATGACGCTTAGACTTGCTCCTGAACCTTACTGGTGGACCTGTACAGAAGGCTTGGTTATCGGGACAAACCCAAAAGAATCTGCAGCCAAAATCAGCCAAATGTGCGGTAGTAGCAGTTCCCATCGCCACGGACAGATCGCCAGTCACAGTACGCCTGTCCACAGAACCAGATTTCATCAGATTTCAGTCCGATCTAATCCACCATCTTGGAAATGAAGCAAATAGCGAGGAGCCAGGGGGCATCCTTCGGATATGGGGGTTGTTCAAAATTATGCTTCCCCAAAACTGCCCTTACGCCGCCCTTTCGCGACCCTTTCGCCCCTGCAGCAAAAACACACGTCCATATCTGCAAATGTCACTCGGATACTAAAAGTCTTGCATGGGTTTTAGAACGACTCCCATATGAAACCTCCTGTTTAAACATCGAGTCATCATGTTATGGCAGGAAATGTCATATTGTCTCTTGTGAGCAACAAATATTTAGCGGAGAGCATGACAGTATCAAATGGACCACGCCAACATCCCCAACAGAAAACACACAGGGATCGAGTATCTCCTTTAGACATGTCGTTGTTGGACCCCAAAAGCACTTCGAACAAGGGCCTATGTTAGTTCGA